CAGAGATTTGTCTTCCAATTCTAAAGACTCTTGTGATTACATTGGGTACCGGGATAACCAAGGATTATCTTTTTATTTTAATTAAGATGATTAGCAGCTTTAGTCTATCTATAGTCATAGTCCTTCTTTGCCACGTAATAACATTCCTCATCTGGGAATGAGGAGGCACACACCTTTTGGTGGCCATTGTTCTACATACTGCAGTTTTCACTGAGTAGTGATATTGAGGGGCTAAGACCTGAAAGATGAAAGTAGCTAGTCATATAAGAGCAGTGTGTTTGTGTGCATGTGTGTATACATGCTTATAGCTTATATATCTCTATTAGAGTATATATATATAGATATAGATATATGTATAGAGTGTATATATATACACACACACATACACACAAACACACACACACTAGTAGATAGTGGTTCGAGGGCTAGAGAGAGAAGAGAGCCTTTTAATATAGACTGTGGGAAAGAATTTGGATTTTATTGTAGGTGCACTTGGAAGCTATTGAACTTAAATTAAGCAAAAGAATGATTTAATTTCTAAGATGTCATCCCCTGAAGAAGTGTAAGAAAAGGGATGAATCTGATCAGGAAAAGCATATATATTTTTCTACTGTAATAAGCTAGAAGTGTGATGGTTGCACTTACAGGGGAGGGGAACTGGGATTAGGTTATGGGTTTGAGGGACTCACAAATCTGCTTGGGGCAGTCTTGGGCTCAGTCACCCTGGTCAGTTGCACATCTGGTCAGGAGAGAAGAATGAGGTAGCCAGTGTGGGTGGAAGGAGCCTGAGCAGAGGACAATTGTCTTTTCTGTGGATACATTCTTTATAGGTGAGTCTTCTCCAGAGTTTTAGAAAAGGTGAGGAAGTTTTTATAGAAAGATCTGTCTCTGCATCTGCTTTTGGCTTCCATATTCCAAAGGGGATAAAAGAAGAATTGGGTCAAGAGAGTTAAGATTCCAGAACCTGAAAAGCAGATACAGTGGCATCTAGAGGTAGGCAAATTTGTCAAACTGGTGATTTTTCGGAGTCTGTTACTCAAAAGTTATATGGACTAGGAGAACTTAAATGAGAAAGTGAACCTAGAAAATTCTCTCTCAGAACTTTTTTTTAACAAAGAAAGAAACACATTTTGTTTTGTTTAATTACTATCCATGAAACCCTAATGCCATGAGGAAAAGGTTAAGAGGAACTTTTCTTTATTTCCTCATTACTGGGAGCGATCTTGGAGGACTGCGAGTGGTATTGTCAGTGTGTTCTGAGGGGCCCAGTGCAGCCCCAGGCCCCTTGGGAGGTTTGGTCAATGCTGTAGCTGTGGATGACATTGGCATTTGTTTAATCAATTTTAATCATCATCATCTTCATCCTGCATTATTCATTAAAATGCATGGAGGTAAAGCAGTTTATCAGTGAGGGAGTACATATGGTACTCTGTACTGTGTTGTGTTTTTAAGGGATTACTGTGGAGACTGAGGATAACTGATATCACCAAAACCTTTGGCTATTGAGATATCCAAAGCTCTTCGCCAAGGCAAGTGTGGCTCAGAACACTGACTTGGCAGAAACTCGCTCACAAACAGATGCTCATTTGAATGCTAATTAAAATTTATAAACCAGATGCAATTTTTTGGATACACACTTTGATCAGTTATTTGTTAAATATCTTCCAAATTCATCCACCAATAACAGATTAAAACTAAAAAGGATTTACTGTTTTAAAAGGAAAGTATAATTTTGTATGTGCTGGAAGGAGGGCAAAGTGCAAGAGTCTCCTGCACTGAAATATTCATCATGGGATAATTAGGAACAAAACAAAACTCCATGTGTCGACACTGCAGACATTTGGTGTCAACAGTTTTAAATGTCATGTCAGCCTGGGAACTGTAGTTCTACCCATACTCTGTAGGTCTCCGTCTTCATGTGTCACCAGGAAGTCTCTGACCTCAATGGGAGAAGAGTTTTGGGGTCTACTTTCTTGGTGTCTTTATAGCTTCATTCCAATCAGTTAGCATTCTTGGAGGAAACCCAATGCAGAGAGAGAAATATCAGGATTCTCATAATAGAGGGAACAAACCATTGGCAACAGACAATGCACAAAGCTGAGTGAGTAGAAATCGCTCTAGAAGAAATTGGTGAGAGCGTTTAGGACAGAGTTGGGACCTGCAGATGGAAGGAGAGAACTTGGAGCAACTGGAGCCTCTCTTTACACTGCCTAGGTCCATGGGTGATTGGGGCCTCCAAGCGGAGTTGGAGGGACCAAGGAAACCTTAGTTCATTTGGCTTAGCTGACATGGGCTTGGGATTGGCAGTAGAAAAGCACATTTTTCTTTGTTACTCTCCTTGACTCATTTCCCTTTCTTTCAATACTTTTTGGTATTCTTTATTTTAAAATAAGTAGGAAGTTACCATCTCAGTAGGGCTTGCAGGCAAAGATAGAAAATGGTCATTAACTGTGGTCATTAAAAATAATGAATGTCATTGCCCTGGCTGGTGTGCTCAGTGGATTGAGCGCGGGCCTGCAAACCACATGATTGCAGTTTGATTCCCAGTCAGGGCACATGCCTGGGCTGCAGGCCAGTTCCCAGCAGGGGACACATGAGAGGCAACCATACATTGATATTTCTCTCCTTCTCTCCTTCCCTTCCTCTCTCTAAAATAAATAAAATCTTAACAAAAATCATGAATGTCATTGAGATTTTCATATAATGCAGGAAATAGGGAAAAAATAAAACTGCCAGAGATAAAAATCCTGCTTAGAAAGGTATATGGGGGTAGTAAAGACTTAAAGTAATCATTTTAATTATTGTGTCCACTGCGAAGTCTAGCTAAGTAACAACCCTAGAACTCTTTCTCTTTAACCTAGTTATAAGGTATCTTATAATTTTTAAATGTATTAAATCAGCAAATATTTGAGCTTCAGACACTGTGCTTTGGTGCTACCTGCAGAGTAAACAAGAGGTGTATGGACCCGCCCCTCACAGGTGGCACTTCTCAGCCCAGCTCGAGGAGAGGGCTGCCTCTGAACTTCATTCTAGAAAGAAAATTTCACTGTGTGAACTCTGAGACAATATAGATTTTACTGACCTCGAGTAAGGAATTTTTCATGGAATCAAATTATTGTTAGATCTAGAAGTGCCCTTAATTCAATGCAACATCCCAAGGTATGCATCCATAATTACAGAGTCAACTTCAGAAGCATGTAGATCATGATGCAAAGTGTGTGTGTGGGTGTATTTTTTGTTTGAGAGACATGTGTTTACTTTAAACTGTCATCCAAAATACTTTAAAATATACTCTTTTTCCAGAATGAGAGAAATCTCTTTTATTAGCATTTTATTATTAATACAATAATAATTGTCTTTAAGTATATAAGAACACATTAAAGACAACATAATAAATGAGCATAGTGGCAAGATTTAAAATGATAAAAGTGTATATAAGTATTAATTGGAAAATTTGTATTATAATTAAAAGAATGTTAAACTATATATTCATTTATTCAATAACTCTGGGTACTTGATATTTACTAGGTAAGGGGAGTATGCAAATAGAAAAACATAATCTTTGTTCTCAAGAAGCTCACTGATTAGCGGAAGGCAGATTTTTAAGTGAGAATGTGTAATATACTGTGCAAATGTCACAATAGAGTCTTTATGGGTTCTTCAAAGAGAGGGTCTGCACCATGACTAAAAAGTTCAGGGAAGGCTTTTCAGAAAAGGTAATAATAGATTCAAGACATTAAGAATGAGTAGAGATTTGCTTACTAAATAATTAGGGGGAAAACCCTTGGGACAGAACTCAAAGATTCCGTGAAGAGTATGGAATGTTGGGAAATCAAGAATGGCATGCTAAATAAGGAGCCAAGTACCTTAGAGTAGTCAATGAGACTGGGTACACAGATAGCTTTATGTAATATGTCAGCATTTTGATTTAATCCTTGAGAAAAAAATTAGGCCAGGTAATAAGAAAATCCAATATTCAATTCAAAATGATCTTTCTGATGGCAGAATGAAAAGAAAGGTTTTGAAGGGTGTGAGTTAGTGTCCTTTTTACAGCTGTGACAGATTGCCACAAACTTAGTGGTATAAAATAACACAAATTTCTAGTTCTGGAGGTCCAGATCCCTAAAATTAAAGTGTTTTTGCAAGGCTGTGCTCCACCTGGAGGCTTTAAGAGGGGAATCAGTTCCCTGGCCTTTTCCAGTTTCTAGAGACTGCTTGCATTACTTGACTCAGACCCCTCTGTCTTCAAAGCTGGCAGTGTAACATTTTCATAGCATCTTCAAATATCTTCTCTTTCTTTCTCCACACTTATTCTATCTAGAGCCCAGGTGGATACTTTAGAATTTAGGATAATATTTTCATCTCAAAATTCTTAATTTAATTACACCTGCAAAGTGCCTTTTCCCATGTAAAGTAACATATTCACAGTCTCTAGAAATTAGGATATGGACAACATTATGGCTTCATTTTCTCTCTACTGCAAGGGGGGAGCAGAAAAATAAAATAGGAAAATCTTTAGGAGAGAATTTCTCTAATTCAGGTAAGCAATGATGAAGACTTATATGAGGTAAAGGACAAGCAATTTCACTCCTAGATATTAACCAATAGAAAAAAATTCAGGTCTACAAAACAACTTATAAAATGCACCTAGCAGCTTATAATTTTAATTTAAAAACAATCCAAGTATCCATCAACGGGAGGTTGAATAAAGAAAGTTGTGTTATATTCATGCAGTGGAGCACTATCGAACAAAAGGAACAAATATCTAATACTAGCAGAATGGATGAATCTCAAAAACATTATGCCAAATGAAAGAACTCAGGAAGAAAGAAACACTATATGATTCCAGGTGTTTGGAGTTCTAGAACAGTTGAAGCTAATTTGTAGTGAGGAAAATCAGGAGAGTGGTTGTTTCAAGAACAAGACTGAGGGTGAGATACCTGAAAGGGTCATGAGGTAACCACATGGGATGACAGAAGTTTTCTGTATCTTTTTTTTCTAAATGTTTCTTACATGGTTTGTTTCTTCAGTCACGGTCCAAAGGGCTCTGAGAAGCTGTAGGAACATGCAGGTGCAGACTCAAGGCCTGGCTTTCTCTCCAACATTGTGGAGAGGGACTGTACATCACAGGGCAGAGCCCTATGCTTCCCTATGCCACCTGGACAGAGCCCAGGGAGAGTGACCTCCTGGGGTATCCACATTGGTAATTTTCCATATCTTGATTGGGTGAACATTACTTGGGATTTAGTGTATATTCACATGCATTAAACTGCACTCAGAACCTGAGCATTTTGTTGTTTATGAATTACACATCAATTAAAAATATATTAAAATATGGTACTAGCAGTGGGCATAGAAAGAAAGAGGAACTACTTTGAATATAAAATTGACAATAATTTGTAAATTGTTCAATGCCAATTGAAGAAGAAAGAGAAAAAAGAGAAATGAACAAAGACAAATTTCCAAACATTAAGTAAACAGTCATCCAGTGTGCTGTTGAGACATAAATTTGTTTTATCAACGCTATGAAAATAAGACACAAAGTGTTGACTGACTTATAAAATAATAAAAATAAAACATACTTTAGAATTTATTTCATAATCTATTTGTTATTTAATTCAAAGGACTAAATGTTAGCTATTAACTTCAGATGGGGGCAGTCACCGAGATTTGGATCCCTTGTGTGAAAAATTGGGCTGATGGTATTTAAGTCTATTTGCTAAGTGGGAAAACATATATGTTTAACATAACTGTCCTGTATTTCAGGACAGGTTTATGGGCAAAGAAATACAGCAATTAGTGTTGTTTACTCAGAACATGAACAGAAGATATGTCTTGAACTTTCCAGAGCCTTTGCTTGGTGTGAACCTTAGCGCAGTCATTACTACATTCAAACTGACCCAAGGAATGGTTAAATTCAGTTAAGCTGCTTATTATTTTAAAAAGATGCTCTTATACTCAGTACCATCACTGTGAAGATAAGTATGTTACTTTAGAAAATTTGAACAATTATTTTTGGTGTTTATTTAATATGAACAGACACCATCTGAATCTCTGTTACGATAATTCTGTTGGTTGTCTAACTCCAAGTTTCTTTTCTTTGCCCTGTCCTTTTCTCTTCTTTCTCCTCTTCTGTCTTCTGTTTGGGGCTCCTACTTCCCGTCTGACTTTGTGTATAATATCTGGTTTTACATGCCATCTGTATGCTGATATCTCTTAAATTTCTATCTACAGTTTGGGCCTGTTAAAAATGCCTCAGACTTACATACCTCATATTATCCAAAGGCTACAGATTCAAAGAAACTCTAACTGCTTCTATTGTCTACAGAGTCCATAGCCTGAAAAATGACTCGAACCTCTGATTATATAATATGCTCTTATTTCTCCCTACCTTTTCATATCTCTTCCAAAATTTTCTTTGGGAAGTCACAGTAAAACATTAAAAATTTTTGTACTTTTACTCTAACTAGCTCTTCTTGAACAACCTGATTGCTTAGTTATCTATATTTAAGAATCGGTATAACTACCAGCTGCTTATTTATGACCCAGCTTATTTACTATTTTAATTAATGAAGTTTTATTTGTATCTGTGTCCTGAGGCAACTTAAAGCAAAAGGATATAGTTTCTGAGCTTTTGCAAAATAAATTCATAAACACAAAAGCCATTTTCAGCCAGGCTAATAAAAACACAGTGTTTAATTGACCATGAGCTACACAGTTCAAGCTGAACACCATCATCATATCGACCTCATGGGTCTCTGGTGAAACATTTTAAACTAAGAGCTGAGCAAAGTCTTGCACAATTTTGTTGCAAGTTGAAATTTAGTTCAGGTTTTTAAGAAAGCTGAGAAAAGAAGATGGATTTAAATGAGAGGAGCGGAAGGCATGTCTTGTCTATCTGGAGAGCTCTCTGGGTGCTTCCACAAGGAGCCATGATTTCTGCCTTGGTGCTTTCACAACACCATCTGTGAAAGGAAGAGCCATGGCTTCTACTGTAGATGAGAAGAAACATCCCATTTTTGGTGTCAGCCCAAGAGCAAATGGTTTTTAGAAATCAAAAGAAAAACTTTCTTCAGGTCACACTTTTAATTTTTACTGTAGGATCTGGTGGGTATGGAGGAAACATTAAAGGTTTTATCCTTCCCATGTACTAAGACCTAAATAAAATGTAATGTTTTAGGAAGACAGCTAAGTCAACTGGAGGTTAAAATTTATTGTCTTGAATATAATGTCACATGACCTGGAGGCATTATTAGGCTGAGAATAAACCAAAGACTGAGAAGTTAGAGGCTGTCACTCAAGAATACACTCTTTTGAACCTGCAGAGAATTTCCATTTTTGGTCATCCGTCATTTACATGGTGTGAAACTGGGCAAGTGTCTTCACTTATTTTGGGTTTTTCCCTGTTAAAATGAAATGTATAATGATATAATAGCACCTGTCTCATTGTTGGGTAAGTTAAAGGAGATAAAATCTGTGAAATATGTGGAACCCAGTCTAACATATAATTATCAAATAAATGTTAATTAGCTTCATTCACATTTATAGTGTGAATATGTCACATTTACATCCACTTCAAAACTAATAATTTCTTAAAGGAATCTACTGATGGGGGTATTGACTTTGATTTTAATATCATTATTCTGTTAGTCAGGATTTTAGTGTCAGCAAATGATAGAAAGCCAACTCAAATGTTCTACAACACAAAAAGGAAATGTATTAGCTAATAGCTAAAAAATCCAGGGATAACTTCTGCTGTGGCTTGATGCTGGAGCTCTGATGATACTGTGAGAACACAGCTCTTCTCAGAAGTTCTACTCTGGGTTCTGCTGTGCAGGCTTTATTTTCAGCCTCCTGGGGTTTCAGGGTCTTATCCCTAGTCTCAGCTTGAGTAGGAGCACAGCAGATGCGCACTCATTGTCACTGCCCTTGCCTCTTCCTACTTCCACTCTGTAAACTCTCTTTCTTATCCTCGAGTCTAGGTCCTTTGGGTGTTTTCCTCTTGGCCTCTTCTACTTTAGAGATCACTATACACTCTCTTTTTAAATTTTTTCTTTCTGTCTTCCAGCCTGCCATTCTTTCTAAGAAGTCAATCTAGCTCTTCATAGCCTCATCGGCTCATACAGCAGAGCTTAAGGGCCCCTGCCCCCAACAGCTGGGTGCATATCCCTTCATTCATGTTCTTTTCAGGAATGTAATGTATACATTACTATGTTTAAGACAATTCGCTGTCTAGTCCTGAGAAGGCCCAATCTTCATTTCTTATTGCATTTTAAATACTTCAAATAGGTATATTTTTAAATTTTACAATATAAATTCTTATTTCTAAAATGTTTTCTTCATGGGAAGTTTGAAAAACAAAAAGAAATATGAATCAGAAGAGATCATCAAGCAAATGAAAATGCTTACAGTTCCAGTACCTAGAGAGATATCTATTATCACCTTCTTGGTCTTCCTTCCTTCCTTCCTTCCTTCCTTCCTTCCTTCCTTCCTTCCTTCCTTCCTTCCTTCCTTCCTTCCTTCCTTCTTTCCTTCCTTCCTTCCTTCCTCCCTTCCTCCCTTCCATCCATCGTCTGTCTTCTCATTTGAACACATATACATGTTTAATGGTATCACGAGGTTCTTCTGTTCTCTGACTACTTTTTAGTCTTATCCTCAGGATCTTCCTCATTTTTCTTTTTCTGTTTTTTAAGATTTTATTTATTTATTTTTAGAGAGAGGGGAAGGGAGGGAAAAAGAGAGGGAGAGAAACATCAATGTGAAAGGGAAACATCAATTGTTTGCCTCTCACATGCACCCCAACTGGGACCGAACAGCAATCCTGACTGGGAATTGAACCAACAACTTTTTGGTTCAGAAGGCATGAACAGACATTTTCTGAACTGAAACATTTTATTTTGCTTTGTGGGACAATACCTAACCCACTGAGCCACACCAGTCAGGGCATATTCCAATCTTCCCTTGACTCTCAAATCAAGGTATATCAAACTCAATGATATGAACTGAAGTTTCTTATGCAGTTGCAATCAGTGAGAGTATTAGACCCTGACAAAATACAGTCTGCAGTATGCCAAAACTTTAAAACTTGCCTCGTAATGAGATTTGAGGAGTCATAGGGAACATGCAATAACATTTTCTAATACACTCTTTCCCAAGTCCAACTGATATGGTGATAAAAAATGTGTTAGAGGACAAGTGGAGTTTTTTTTTTAATCCCATCCTCTCACTATCTGTTATATAAAAGTGAAAATAACTTTGGATGAATCAACATGGGCACAATTCAAATCAGAGTTGTTTACTTAGATGTAGGAGTCCTGGGGCTGTTAGAGGCCTCAAGTCACAGGAAAGAGAATGGCAGTGACTAAGCTTGGAAAACTAGCAGGGAAAGAAAAGGCACTTTCGTTTTCCCTGTGCAGCCAAGTCTAGCCTGGAAGGCCATCTCAGTACACCCTGTAGGATCCTACATTAGTCTTTCAAATCACCCATGGACTAATACCAAAACATGCTGCCCAGCTGAGAGAGGATGAAATCACCATAAGGTCCAAGACAAATCAACTGACAACTGAAATACTGATTCAGAGATGATTTCTACCATCTTGTCTTTGATAGAACAGGAGGTAGAGGAAGAAAATGCTTTGAGTTACAGCTTTCTTGCCTTTGTATTTTTATTCTCTATGATTATGCATTATTAAAATGAAATTATTCCATAGTGAGTCAGTGGGAACTACTTGTATAATAATGAATATTTACTTCCCATAAGAATGCATAGACTGGGCTTTGTCAGGTTAGGCCCACTTATTATGAAAAATAGAAGATGCCATTTTCTATGGCAAGAGCAAAGAAAAATAAAGTTTAATTTTAACTGTGCTGCATTATTAAAAAGAGAGAGAGAGTTACATATAGACAGACTTGGAAATATTTAAGTCAGATTTTCTTGATGTCTTAAAGAATTTTATAGATAAATCAATTTGACTATCCGGTTAAAGAATTTGATAAAATAATATAGCAATATTATTCCTCTGCCAAAAAGAATCACTTAAAAGGAATACTAGAACCCACTGAAGTCCTTTCCCCTTTAACAAGTAGGACTGCCTCAGTTCATAGGGAGGCCTGGTAGTAGTATAGTGGTTACCAGGCTAGACTGGTGCTAGATTGCAGGACTGGAAACCTCACTTCACTTCTTACTGACAGTGGGACCATTAAG